GCCGCACGCGAGGAGGCGGCAGAGGAGTGCAGAATGAAAGGCGGCGTGGAGAAGGGGAGAAGCCGGGCCACAGAACGGAAGGGAGGCCAAGCACGTTGCCGGTATTAAAGCGAAATAAAATCCCCCCCCCATGTTTGGGGAAATGGGGTAGACGGAGGAAGGATGGGCCGCTGAGATCCAAACGCAGGTGGACGCACAATCTGGACGTGGGCCGGGGGTCTCTACCGGCTGGACGCACGAGCGAGACTTTTCTGCCCCACATCATCTCTGTTCGGCAGGCGGGATCCACAAATGTGGAGCCCCTTCATCTCGGCTCCCACCCCAGGGAAACCCTGCTTTCTTTAAATCTCAGCTCCCTTTCGAGGAGAACCCTCCGTACCATTTCACTTGGTGGGAAGAGACGCCATGTGGCTGCTTGGCTCTCCTTCAAAACCCTGACTCCATGCAGCCACCAAACTATATTCCTACTGTCTCGGGGGGCATCCTGGAAATATCCCCCTCGGCCTCTCGGCCTCCGGATGGGGGCGCCCTGAAGCACGTCCATCCACAGGTCCTAGGGGCCAAAATCCAGTTCTAAGTTGCAGCTGAGTTGCAAAGAGCAGTGGGGCGGATGGGAGACGTCTTCCAGGCCGTTGAGTTTTTGCACCTCTGGACGAGGCTTTTAAAGGTTTGACGGTCAATGGGCTCTTCACTCGACGCCTTCCGGTTCTGCCTTGAGGTTCTAACTGGCTTTGAGGTGGGCTCATCTCCCAAAGGTCTTGCCCTCCACAGACCTGCTCAGCTCTGTGGCTTCCTTGAGAGAGCCCATCGCTCTGATCCTTGGTCTTCCTCTTTTCCTGCTGCCTTCTGCCTTGCCCGGCATGATAGGCCTTTTTCCAGAGAATCCTGTCTTCTCCGGATGGGCCCGAAACGGGACCACTTCCGTTTCGTCACCGTTGCCTACAGAGAGGCATGATAGGCCTTTTCCAGAGAATCCTGTCTTCTCAGGATGGGCCCGAAACGGGACCCCTTCCGTTTCGTCACCGTTGCCTACAGAGAACGTTCGGGCTTGAGTGGTCCTTAACCACCCCACTGACGGTTTATCTTTCTGACGGTCCAAAGCTGGCCACCTTAACCACCCCACTTGTTTATCTTTCTGACGGTCCAAAGCTGGCCTCCAGCACCACGTAGGGAATAAATCATTTCCCCCACCATCAGCTTTCTTCCCTATCCAGCTATCACCCCCGTACACGGTGCCTGGAAATACAAGAGGGTGGATGTCGCCTTGGTCTCCAGCGACACCTCCTGAGTCTTGGAAGACTTTGTCTAATCCCTTCATCGCCGCTGTTCCGAGTCTGGCTTCCAAAGGCGCTGATTCTGGAGCTGAATCCTGTTTCTCTTTTTTTGAGCGCTGCTGTGGCTAAATGCTATGAAATCTGTCTCCGTCCGTCGGTAAAGACCTCGTGTCCGAGAGGACTTGGCGCTAAGCGGGGGCTCTTCTGCGCCAGCTTTTCGTGCCAATCCCGTCCGGATGGCTTTGGCCAACGCGGCCGATCTCCGTTCTACTTTCCAGGCCCGGGTTCTCCGCCGCCCGCTCGGCTGGCCAGAGGCGATCGCCGACTGAAAGCGCCTTCCTTGACTCAATTTGCTAACCGCTTTTTTAAACCAAAGCACTAATTTCCCGGAAACTCAGTGGTCAGCAGGAAAAAAAACGGGCAGATTCCCCGGAGTTCTCAAATCATATTAAACTAAATTGACCTTTGTTGACTAATGAGGTGCTCTGCTCTTGCAGCTTTGCTGAATTTAGGGATGACAGGCCGAAGCAGGGAAAGTAGCCTTTGGCAGTACCTGATAATCAGGGCAAGATGTTAACTGTCAAACCCTGAGATCAACCCTCAGGCATCTGAATTAATGGTGGAAGGCTTTGCACCTACCAGGAGGAGGAGGCAGGAGGAAAAAAAATCTTAAAAAGGAAGGAGAGAGCTAAGTGGACAAGGTTTATCAAAGACAGCACTCCCCTAGCCGCCTTCCCAGAATGATTGGAGATCAAGGATTTATAGGTTGAATAGAGTAGGTCAATACATGTCAGCATCTCCTCTCCTCCATCCATTTTTTTTGGGGGGGGATTGCATATTGGGCCAAAAAAGCTTCAAATCAAAGAGACATTGAGCAGGAAGCAGGAATTTTATAAGGTGTCCCGCTCATGTTTGTTGCAGGTCTGAATTTTCTGCGGTAGAAGACGGGAGAGGTTTGGATTGGTTTTTAAGCAGGTAGAATACCTCCTGTTCCTTGGAGAGGCTGAGAAAAGAAAGGGGGAAAATTATTTCAGGATTCTAGGCGCTGCCCATACCTTGTTGGCTGTACATTTCGCGGTCACACCGAGCAAGTGGAGAAATGCACACTAGACGTTGAGCCAAAAAAGCTTCAAATCAAAGAGACGTTGAGCAGGAAGCAGGAATTTTAGAAGGTGTCCCGCTCATGTTTGTTGCAGGTCTGAATTTTCCGCGGTAGAAGACGGGAGAGGTTTGGATTGGTTTTTAAGCAGGTAGAATACCTCCTGTTCCTTGGAGAGGCTGAGAAAAGAAAGGGGGAAAATTATTTCAGGATTCTAGGCGCTGCCCATACCTTGTTGGCTGTACATTTCGCGGTCACACCGAGCAAGTGGAGAAATGCACACTAGACGCATAATTCAGCACTCAGAGGTACTCAGAATTTTGTTTTCTTTTATTCCCATTAAAAATCAAGTTCCTAGTCCTTAAAGAGAGAGACCTGAATTTTCCGCGGTAGAAAACGGGAGAGGTTTGGATTGGTTTTTAAGCAGGTAGAATACCTTGGAGAGGCTGAGAAAAGAAAGGGGTAAATTATTTCAGGTTTCTAGGCACTGCCCATACCTTGTTGGCTGTACATTTCGCAGTCACACCAAGCAAGCGTAGAAATGCACACTAGACTCATAATTCAGCACTCAGAGGTACTCGATGTCTAATTTTGTTTTCTTTTATTCCCGTTAAAAATCAAGTTCCTAGTCCTTAAAGAGAGAGACTATAGGGGCCGACCCCCCTCTCTGTTCAATCCCTGGCCGAGAGCACAGGAAGTTCGGCCTCGTTCTTTGCCTTGTCTAATGATTGTTATTAAAAAGGAGCCTGCAAAATAAACGAGCCTATAATAGAGAAGGAACGTCGAGCCGATGAATTAAAAAGATCCGAGGTTGCGATCCTACACATGATTGCCGTTGGTCAGATGGACGGTATAAAAATCTGAATGAACGAATGAATGAATGAACGAATGACCCCGGGGAAAGGTGTGTAGGGTACAAATAAAAACCATCTTCCACTCTGTAGGACGTATTGCCCCAACCCAGAGGCACCATGACCTCTTTTGAACTCCTCACAGAGGCCGAGTGATTCGGGGCTAGCTTTGGAATTACCGGGGCAGCCCAAAATGATTGCAATTAGCCAATTGCCCTGACGACTTTTTTAGTATAAGTCAACACACTCAATTTGCCACCTAGGTTTAGGTTATTGTTATTGTCTGTGATTCCCCCTCCCCCCGAGTGACCGTTGGTCAGATGGGCGGTATAAAAATATGAATGAATGAATGAATGAATGAATGAATGAATGAATGAATGAATGAATGAATGAATGAACCTTACAGAGGTCCCCCATGAATGAAAAATATATCTACTGTATATGGTTATCTACTCATCTGTTTTAATCACAGGAAAAGTGGAGTAATATAGGTTTCTTTACTTCTTCCGCTGATCATCCCTGCTATCTTTTTATTTTATTTTATTTTTTAAAATGAAGATGTTAACTGTTTTTAATATGGCTGTTCTCTATGTTCTTTCTCTCTCCAGACTGATGTACCATGAGATGCTATACAGAGTTGGACACACATAATACATAGTCAATTAATTCATTTGTGTTTTTAAAAAGACTTTATTTGCTGACAAATCTTCCTTATTTCACCGGAGAGCATATTTTTTTTTTAAAAAATGTGTTTTTTACAATGACACTGAAAACAGGCCCTTTAAAAAAGCCACTGATGGCAGACGCCCTACGATAGGGCAGGTGGGCTCTGCCCTCTCTGCTGTGATCCTGTCTCCTACAATATAGCGCTTTCCTGTGTTTATTAGCAAAAAAACAAAGGACATGGGCTCGGTCCCTTCAGAAATATTTTATTTCTGTTGTAGAGTTTTCTCTGCATGCAGATGTTTATAGGTGAGTCCGTTTGCTAAAAGAATTATAGGCCGGCAGTTAATTAACGTACAGTTCCTTTTACAGGAGACTGTGTCCTTTACAGCCGCCTGCCCTCTGTCTTGTTTGAATTTTATGTCATTCTGGGCTTCCTTAGGGGTGCTCCGGATGGGGACAGAGTCCAGCTCTATGATAAAAGCTCTCCCGTTTTCCTGTGCTTTTGTACCTTGTACCCCCCCCCCAGCATTACCTCCCCACCCACCCTCATTTTGCTGGTGGCTCGTGTTTTGTCTCTGTAAATTTATTTTCCTATTATTATTAATAGCTAGCTGGATAACTCTGCGGTTTCGGTATCTGGCCACCGAGCTATAGGTTGGGAGTTCAATTCCACCACCGCACGTCCTGAAAATAAACCCCACCCTAGGTGGCCTTGGGCCAGCAGCACAATCCCAAGGCACCCCCAAAAAGAAGTCTCTGAACTTCTGAACAGTCTCTACCTGAAAAACTGTGAAAAAGGGGGTGAGGGTGAGGAGCCTTGTGGTTAAACTGCAGTACTGCAGCTAAAAATCTGCTCATGGCCCAGGGTTCAATCCCAGGTAGCTGGCTGAAGGTTCACTCAGCCTTCCATCCTTCCGAGGTCAGTAGACAAAAGTTCCTAGCTTGCTGCAGAGACGGCAGTGAGAGTTCCTAGCTTGCTGCAGAGACGGCAGTGTGTCGCCTGCATAATTAAATTGTAAACCGCCCAGAGGGTGTGTGAAGCGCTATGGGGTGGTCTATAGGAGCAGCACGCTTTGCTTTTTTGCTTAGCTTTTCTTTTCCTCTCCCCAGTTGCAGACAACATCGTTGTGAAGTTGCTTTCGGAGCGGTTGAACACTCTGGACGCCCACATCCATGGCTGGGTGCTCCATGGATTCCCAAGAGATGAGGATCAGGCGAAACTGATGGCCCACTGGGATATCCACCCCAACAGGTACATACTTGCCTTTTCTTCTGAAATGTATTACAGATAATTAACACGAGGGACTGGATCCTTGATTCTTAAAACCTGAAGGCAGAAGGCTAATCGCCGCCCCATACACAGAGACACGCATCCTGTGTTGAAGTGTATTTGGGGCATTCTGTGTTTCTCCTTAATCAAATACAGTGGTGCCTCGCATAACGAGCGCACTGTTTAACGATGAATCTGCATAGCGATGCGGATTTTGCGGTCACTAATGCAATCGCATACCGATGTTTTGAATGGGCAAAAATCGCTCTGCGACAAAAATCGCTCTGCGTTTCGCTTACTGATCTTCACATAGCGATTTTTTAAAACAGCTGTTTGGCGGTTCCAAAATGGCCGCCGGACGCCCAAAATGGCCGCGCGCAGCGTTTTTGTGCCCTGCCCTCGCTTACCGAGGGCGCGAAAATGGCCGCCGGATGGGGAAACTTTGCTGAACTGTGAGTTTGGGCCCCATTGGAGCACATTAAACGAAGTCTTTGGTCCCAAGTCCCAAATTCGAGTTGCTATTAAAAACAAGCTTTTCCCCCCCAGGAAAAAATGGGAATGGGTGGGTGTGTTCTGATTCAAGTCCATGTTGATGAAAAAAAAAATTGTCAAGTCGGAGCTGAGTCACCGTAGCTAATTTTTCAGCATTGGTTGAATCCCCGTTTTCCTCCCGGGAAAGGCTGGCCCTACCACCATCGCTGACCTGTAGACTGGTTTGCTTGAATGTTGTTTATGTGGGGCTCCCCTTGGAGACCTTTCAAAAGTGAGACTCGGTCCAGAGAGCAGATGGCCATGCATGTGGACAAACCGTGCAAGCTTGTTCTGCCACATCCATCTGGTGGGTTGTGACGTTGCGTGAGCCAAAGGTGCAGACCGCATGAAAATGTCCCTGGATCTGAAAGAAGAATCCGGCGGGCCTGTGGTTTCGAGCGGCCGATTTGGCATTCGTTAGGGGCCAGTTTTGATGAGGGTTGAGAACCCGGCTCTTTCAGAGGGCCAACGCCTCCTGCACGAGGGTAGCCGTCATTGTGGCCCTGGGCCCGAGAGAAACGACCCAGACCAGCGTCTAGAACGGCATGATGGAGGCTGAGCTGTAAATCATTTGCGCAAGGCGCGGGTGATAAAGCACGCTTTTTCTGACACCGAGGAAGAAATAAAATAAAATAAAACCCGGATAGAATTAGCACTCGGAAATCAATCTGGGAATCGTGAAAAGGTATAAATCACAGTTTGAGACATTTGCCGGCACCCTTTCTCCCTTCCTCTTATTTTTAGGTGGGCTCCGGCTGACGAAATTAGATTAAAATAAATTTACATATATATCAAGTTTATTATTAAAACCCCGTCACATCAGTAAACAAAGTTATTGTCGAAAAGGCCCGCTTCTCCGCCCGGGCGTCTCTTGTTGATCAAAAAAGCAGAATTATTGTCGGGACATCAACTTGGAAGTCTGTTTGGTAGAAGGTAATAAATGGTTTCGTGTTCAAATCCTATGTTTTATCTGGCTTCCATCCCATAAACCCGGTGCAAATAATACTGAATTATATCCCGTTGAGCCATACCAGGCTCCGGGCTCCTCCGCCTTACAGGAAGAGAGAGAAAACAAACCTAGTAATTGATGGTAGAGAGGAATGAAAAATCAACTTATTTCAGGGTAGGGGGGAGGAGGGAACCCTCAACCACAACAAGAAACAAATTGGGCTATAAAGTTTCTTAATATGTAATAATAAAAAAGAGAGATCCCTCTATAGCCGCAGGTCTAGCATTCAGAGATCTGCTCTCGAGCGGAGAGGAAAATGATTTATTTCTCCCATGCCCGCCAACAGAAAGTATTAGGTTTTGCTTCAAATTAACATCAGCTCGCCAGCCAAGGCGGAAGCAACGGTGGTTCGGCGCAAGATGTATTGATTGCCAAAAGGAACTCTTTTTCACCCACGTAATATGTAATTAGCTGATGATATGGATATGATATGGAGTTGTTTGGGGCGAAGACCACCGACAAGATGGTTTTGGGAAAGGGGCACATCTGGGCTGGGAAAACAGGCGATTTCCAGAGGTTCCCCCGTGTCTTAGAACCCCCCGTTTTGTTTTTTTAAATGAAGAAAAATTCTGTCTGATGTTTGTGATCGAGGGGGACGATTTCGCCCTGCGTTCAGCCTCTGGAACCTCGTCTAGGACTTTGCAAGGGGGGTTCACCCCCCGGTTCTCAAACTGGAAGTGAACAGAAGTGATTTCTGATTTTAAAGGGGGAAAAGAACAAACCACCGGCTTAAAACAGGTTGGGGAGGGTAGAAAGATGGGGAAATTGGCCCCCTGCCATGTACTTTTAGAGGGGACCCGGGAGATGGCCTTCTCTGTGGCTGCTCCTTTAGACTTTGGAACTCCCTGCCACTGGAAGTTAGGCTTGCCCCCATCTTTTTTGTCCTTCCGCCAGCAGGCCAAGACCTTTCTCTTTGGGCAATCCTTCCCTCGGTGACTTGCTACCGATGTGCTATTTATATGCATTGTTCTGCATTATTGCTTTAACTTACCCACTTTCTTCTGAGCGTGAGAATGTTATATACAGTATATATTTTATCCGAGTCTCAAAATCCCACAGGCAACTTGGCCTGTGCTGGGGAAATCACCCCAAAGTAACTTTTCCAAAGCTCTGAATATTTAAAACCCACTCGCTGGGCTTACATCGGCTTCAAAAAATTGCAGCCAAGACTAATATAACATCGAGAGGCGATGGGGATCTCTGGCTGCCCCTTACGTTTTGCACGACGAGGGTCTTAATCATATTACTTTGCAGCCGGCTAGACAGGCATTTGTTCAGAAGAGGCTGGAGGTGGTAGGACAGGACTGTTCTTCTCTGTGAGAAATGGAGGCGTCCTGCTCAGGTCCGATCGTGAAGTTCTGTTAATGCAAGGGCAGAAACCAAGTTAAAGTCTGAGAAAGAATCGGACTCGCTCGGCGATTTTTAACTGAGTATTTGTGTGCATTTCTGTTTTAAAAAAAGGCAGAGAAAGAATGTATTCACGGTGATGATGCTAATATTTCTTCAGATGTTTAGATGTATTATGGGTTTGTTAGCTTCTTTGTTTATATTGTTCGTTGCACGTATTGTTGTTTATAGGTGCTGTCATATTACTATTACTCTTATTATTCGTTTTATTTATATGCTGCATTTCTCCCGAAATATGGGTTATATGGCGACCCTCTGAATGAACCTTCTCCAAAATATCCTCTCCACCACTGGCCTGCTCAGCTTTTGTAGACTCGCACTTGTGGCTTCCTTGAGGGAGTCAGTGCCTCTCGTATTGGCTCTTCCTCTTTTCCTGCTGCCATCCCCCTTTCCCAGTATGATGGTCTTTTCCAGAGAATCCTGCCTTCTCATGAGGTGCCCAAAGCAGGATAGCCTCAGTTTCAACATTTCTGCCTCCATAAAGAGATTGTTCAGGCTTGATTTGCCCTAGGACCCCCTCATTCATCTTTCTGGCTATCCAGAAAGCTCTCCCCCCCAGCCCTACATTTCAAACAAATCAATTTTTCCCCATCAGCTTTCTTCATTGTCCAGCTTTCCCACCCCTACCTGGTGATCGGAAACATGAGTGTGGATGATCTTGTTCCTCCCAGGGACACAACCTTACACAGAATAATTTTTTCTAGTTCCTTCAATTGCTGCCCTTCTGAATCTCTTCTGATTTCTTGGCTGCATCATCATTTCCTTTTCTTCTGGCAATTTTCCTTACCTGACATAACAGCGTGCAAATCAACCATCCTCTCGCTTCCCTGAAACCGGATCATGGGTGGATGTTAAATTTCAGAAAAGGAGAAACCCTATGGATGATGGAATAAAGGGAGTCGTGGTTTTTATTTTATACCCTTTGGGTCAAGATTTGGTCCTTCCTCTTCCAGCTTCTGATTTCCAGAGTGGATTAGGGATAATAAACAACCTATTAATGGAGGCTTGAACCAGGAGATGGAGTTTGAACCAGCAGCGCGATTCAATGGCTGAGAGAGGTTAATAACTCCATTACTACCAGCTCTATCCCTTAGCCGTTTGAAGAGCTGAGTATTAGCCTTATCTTACTCCTCTATTAATTGAGCTAATAGAACCTCTCTGACCTTCGCATGGTGCCATTATTTCAAAGTTTGCTATGCGTGGGTTGGAATACTTATCGCTGAATATGTATTCCGCGGATGCTCTGGTGTCTGTAGGCAGAAAGATTTTGGTTAAAGATCAACCAACTTCAAATCCACCGTTCCTTCCCCCTTTTAACATTTACCTGTCGCCTTCCGCCGATCCGTCGAAAACAATGGGGGTAGGCGAGCGTACGTGACTTAATTAAGGTCTCCTCAAGGAAGCCAGCGAAGTTTTCGAGCCTGAGAAGTCAAAAAGGCCACGGCGGAAGTGTTCCAGGATGGGGTGAAGATAAAACTCAAGATTCCCTTTATGGTGGCCGGATTAATTAATACTGGAAGATGTGTAAACACGGAATGGTGTCCTGGTGCTATTCAGTTTGCTTAGTCAATAGTGGTTTGCAGAAGTTGATGGAAAAAAAAGAGGATGATTCTAAGGCTCCTACCAGCTTATTCTATGGATTTTGTCAGGAGCGAGCGCTTTTCAAAGACTCGAAAGGTCGTCCTCCAGAAGAGGAGTAGGATCTGCTCTCGATCATTCGAAAGAGCGCAGGATGCATAAGAATGGGCTGAAGTGACAGGAAGCCATATAGTAGTTTTAGATACCTTCTCGACAGAAAGCCATATAGTAGTTTTAGATACCTTCTCTTTCAGATCGTACGATTCTTTGGGCATTTATTAAAGATGTCCGTGGAGTTGTGGAATATATTAGGACAACTTATTGCTTTTCCCCCCTTGGGTGGCTGCATCGGTTCATGTGGCTATGGATGTGGGGTTTGTATCATAAAATACAAATCCTCACCATCGTCTTAGAATGGCAGAGTAGGATGGGACCTTGTGGGATCATCCAGTCCAGC